AAAAAAAAAAAAAAATAATAATAATAGCAGTAATACTGCATTTACAATTTTCCCTTTAAGAAACCCTTGTACTCCAAATAAACAGCAATCTTAAAACAACTGATAATCAGGCTGATGTCCATCATCTATCATAGTCTAAATTTAACCTAACAGTTCTAGTTCTGAAACTTGATTCGATTTTTTTGTGTCAACGTTCTTTTTTTCGTATATTTTCATAAAGCAGTCACCATCTGCAATTCATTCGGTCGGCACTTTTTCAAAACAGTCTTAAGACATTCATTAAAAAAACAGCAAAAGTTCTCAGAAAATCCAAAAAACTAAAAAAGCACTGTATTTTCAAAAATATTTTAGATGCCTCTACTTCTATCAGTAATCAGTAAGCCTATTCGTCATAATATTTGGTACTACAAAGCATCGAAGCATAGTCAATTAGTGTGTTCCAAAGCCAACTTTGTCGTCCTTGAGCAGACTTTTCCGTACCGGCTGCTAAGTTAGTAAATGTATTCAAAAATTTTGAAAAACTTAGTTTTCCAAATTCACTTTCGTTCCACAAGTTGACATTCATTTATGAACGAACAAAAAGCATCAACTGTATGGCTTTTATGTCCTTGAAAGGCCATATAATAAAAAATCATCAACTGCTCTTTTTTTCTTCAACAGTTTATTGATAGCGACAACTTTTAGTTGCTTGCTTACACAGTGGTGAAAAAATTCAGCTGTTTTCTAGCAATTTTAAAACAACATTAAACGTACACCTCATACCACCCCAGCAGCTATTAACGTAAATTATTTGCATTAAAAAAGGTTTCAACTAAAAAAAATGCCTCAAAGCTTTAGGCAGTGCAATCCTCCTGCCCTGCTTTTGAACGGATATGACCAGACGCCTTACGTCTACACCAAAAAGTGATTGATAAACCACAGTCTGTCATTCTTCCTGCTGCAAAAGTTCCTGTCTTTGCTCCCAATGACGAAAATTTCAAAAATACACTTTTAGTGAAGAAGTTTTTGAGAATCCATTAACCGTATCAGCACATTTCTCAGCCCCTACAAAATTTCAAATTTAGGATAAAAATAGGAACTAATCATTTAAGCGAACCAATCCAAACCCCATCATTCCACCACACTTGAGAACCCGCAACCCGAAATCCACGCCGCTTTTTGACCCATCGTGCCTTATCAGCCTTCATCGATATAATAAGCAGGATTTCAAAAAGCGTACAACCTTCACGACCTCTTTGGGCCAAGCAACCTTACCATCTTTTATATTAATTTGTACACTAAAGAGACAAGTAAAAACTTGATTCATTTATATGAAAAACTGAAGTATCTATAACAAAACGACAAAAGCGCATTTTCGGAAGGTTGTTAGAAAATTAACAAAGTACTAGTAAAACACCAAGAAGCGTGCAAAGAAAATAGAAAACAGACTCTTAGTCAAGATAACCTGTAATTTTACCAGTCCACAACTCTCATGAGAAATAAGAAGACTCAGAGGAACAACGATATCCAGTAGTCCAAAATAACAGAAGAAACGAAAAAGGGCATTACCAAAATCTAAAATCTCTCCGAAAATCTCAATAAGTAATGAATCAGATAGTATATAAAAAAGAATGCATGTGAACAATTCAAGGTGACTATCCAACCCGGTAAAAGAGTCTCATTCGCTTTTCTGGGTGCATTTTCAAACATTGTGACAAACCAATAAAGGTTTAAAAAAAGAATAATAGACAATGAATAAGAACAAATTATCCAATATGAGCAAACTCATTTTGATAACAGAAAATTCTCAAAAAAGTTTTGCACTTTGACGAAAATGGATAACTGTTAAATAAGCGATGCTGCCCCTTTAAAGTTAAGAACTGAATATTCACAACATTCGGCTAAATTAAAATAGACAGAAATTCAGCGTTCTATCACTGAACAAAAAAAAATTTTCAAAAATAAAAATTTTGATGAGAAACATCAGAAAATGAAGAAATAAGAAATGGTAGTTTCTTGAAGTGAAAAGACGGAACAGTCTTATGTTCTTGTGACAAAATTTCCAGAACAGACAAAATGCTAAAAAAAATTAGGAAGTGAAGCTTCATTTGCAGTCACGGAAAGCAGTTACAGCAATGTTTGTTCCACCATTATTTCTGCATAACCAACGGGTGCATTGTAAGAAAACAACCTGAAAGAAACATCCAAAATGGCACCGTCGTCCACATAAACTATAGGGTACACCTGAAAGCAATAAAAAACAGATATATCTATTTTTTATTCGCACTACATTTGAAAAATAAAATAAAAAATTTCAACACAAATACTGGAATGAAATGAAAATACAGCTATTCACCTGTCCACGGATACTGTTTAACGTAGGTTGCAGCAGCGTCCCATTTTTGTACAGCTTTAAATCAATGTGGTCATATGCGACCCCCTAAAATCACTTCAGTATCGAAACAGTACAATAAATCCTAAATAAAAAATCCTAATGAACACTAAAATCCTGCAATTATTAATCAAATTATATTCTGTAACAGTGATCAAAACCGCATAAGTAATGCAAACTTACTGAAAGGAATGCTAACATCCAGTTCCCAATTCAAAATAGTAAAAAAATGTGAAGAGATAAACGCGATGATATGTTGATTTATCTACTAAGAATATTTAGCCAAATAATTTACAGATCCTTCTTTGGGAATGTGTATATCATAAGATTGAAATAATTGTGGAAAAACTAACTATGCAATCCCCTTCCTCCAAAGATTCACCAATTTTTCCAATAACCTCTCCATTAGCAACTAATTCTCCCGTATGTCTTAAAATCCAGCAGTTTTCTTCAGGTGGCACCACGTTTAGTTTTACAGAACGATTAGCTAATCCAACACCCCAAACTCCTATAATAATATTAGCATAATATGAAAAAATTGATCCACAACACACTTTAAAAGGTGAACATTTAAACCAAGCAGTAAAATAAAAAAGTTTCACCTCCTTGCTGGACGCTAATTTGAAAATATGCTTTGTTTTGAACAATAGGAGCTGTACCTAGAGCTCCTCCAGTACCACAAATCCGTTGACCATTTTTCAACAGAACCGTCTCATCGCCTTCACAACATCCAATTATTCAATCAAAGTACGCAAAATTCAATCCTTATAATAAAAGAAAGTAACAACCAGTCGGAATGGCTTTAGATTTTAGTTTGGCTAAAGCGATTTAAATAAAAATATACGTCTGAAAAACGCACCCATAAATGAAGTATCCAACTTCACGCTTCTGGAGTCGTCTTGGAATTGTGCATAACTCTGAGTTGCGGCAAAACTAGGGCCTTGAACACACTCAAGACACATGCGAAGAGGCGGAAAGCAACATCCCAACATCTAAACTACCAAACCTTTGAAATAATTAACGCATTGTATACATATATACGATCTAAAACAGTTATTTCTTAACTCCTGACGAACTGGGATGCCATCTAACAATCCATTTAGCAACCAATTGTGTACTCAAATTTTAAAGCTGACCATATAAATCGATCATCGTTAAAATCCAGTAAGAAACTCTTCTCCCACTCTCTCTCGAAGAAAAAATTACTTGAAAACAAGTCTTTTTCAACGCCAAAACTGCTGCCAGTTTCTAAAGCCAATGCCAAATATCAATTGCCCCGGAAGAAATCTTTCTAAACTGTTGCCAATTTGTCAAGTCCCATCTAACACAGCAATTAAGACTTTTTTAATTTAATGCACTACTAAATCCATAAATGACTGTAAACATTCATTAAAAGATTGATGTTGCCAACAAATTTTAAATTCTCCAAAGCAATAAGGTTTTGACAAGGAGAAACATGCTTCCAGACAAACACCGAAAAATACAGTTACAAAACAGAGAATAGATCAATTTGTGAATTGTATCCGTTGACCAAACTCCACCAGTCAAAACGTGTGCTTTGTGGTAACTAAATCTCCAGCAGAAGCTCTACTGCAATAATCAGCTACTGGAGAACAAACGTGGCTTCGAAAAACATCAAAAAAATAACAGATTAATTTCTCACATTTAATGCTACTTTTTTTCTTTTCTTATAAGCTCTTTAAAAAATGATAAATACTCAGTTCCCAATGATTAAATAAAGCCTACTACAGTGAACATTCTACCAAACTAAGTCAACAGCTTAAAACTAAAGGAAGCGTTACAAAGTCAAATAAAACAATACTGCTTGCAAAAAACGACAACTCCCAATTTGTATCAAACTCGCTCTATAAATTACGCTAAATTTCTATGCCAACAAATGCCGCACAGGCTTTTAAAAAAACTAGCCAAACGAAAAAAAAAGGAAGACCAACAATGGTTTTATAAACAAGAAACGCCAAATGAACCTACACAAACATATCGCCCTCATTCTTAAGATTAATGGCCACCCCAATCGACAGAATGTAATACAGCAAAAAACTGTCTTATCTTTTTTTTCAGTCACTAAAACTAAAAAAGCACTCCAACTGATGAACGTAGAAAGATATCAAGGTGCATAAAGATATCTATATTTCTTGGAATAAGGATGTGTACTGACCCGAAATGACATAAGGAAGTGGCTGTAATCTTCGAGCTCTACAAACCAATCACATCACCCTCTTTGTCTCGCTTCGCCAGCAGATGAATTCGTCATCGGCACAATCTGTAATTGAGCAGTAGAATCGATTTAAGGCCATCATCTGCAGCGCAATACCCGTAATACCGCTGCCGCTACAGCACTGTTCCTGCAGACAGGTCAATGGCAATTTTCTTGCTTTAACGCTGCAATAGTTACACCATTTAAATGAACAGTTTGAATTTTAGCTTCACCTCCTGAACTTTTATTAGAGTTACGGGAAGGCGGGCTGTACGGCAAGCGAATTATCCGTCATTAAAACTGGGCAAAAATTTCTGGTCCGATTGTCCACTAATGTTGTTATGGATTTGTTGTTGCATCCATATCGCTGATACACTTTTTCTTCCTTATTTTTGGTTTATTTTATCTGTATTTTCATCCATAATTCGTTTACTATTTTGTTTTCAAACCCTATTCCATATGCTACTTACCCTTTTAGAAAATTTCATATTCAGCGT